CCCCCCGATTACAATGACACGTCTCCGAATAATTTCAATACGTCAGTCAAAAAAAAAAAAAAAAGGGGGTTAAAAAAGCGCCAAGGATGAAATCATCTGCTCCCAGAGAGCTGCTTTTGCTGAATTCCTACATTAAAACGTGTCGCTGGAGCTTCAGGCAGCCTCTCTCCCGTGCTTCCAGTGGGATTCTTGCCCGGGTGAGGGCAGGAATGACTCCGCTCGGAATGGAGTCTCCCTGTCAGGAGGGCTCGGTCCGGCAAACGGAGCACCAGAGCTGTGTGTGAGCGGGATAGTTCCGGAGCCTCTGCAGCACCTGCAGTCCGGGAAGCTCAGCTCAGATTGCACTTTGCCAGGGCTGGATCATGCCCAGCAGGGATGCTCAGCGCTGGGAGGCTCCATAGAATTTATCCCTCTCTTATCCCCCCTCGTATACGGCGCGTCCTGAGGTAATTTATCCTTAGTGGAACGGTTGCATAAGAGGGACAGGATTTCTTGCCACATTCCTTTCCTATGCTCGAATTTTTTTTTTTTTTTTGTATTCCAATATTTTCTAAATGATACATAGGCTTAGGTGGGTTATATAAATATATAGGCTTTTAATTTCATACCTAAAGCCATTAATAGCATTTTATTGTAATCTTTCTTTTAAAGTTTGGTGCCCTTTCGAAGGGAACAAACATATGGCACAGTTTTAAGGGCTGTGGGGTTTTGGGTTGAAGTTTTACTGGTTTTACTCATGTTTAGAGGGGGGAAAAAAGTGTGCTTTTATTGTTATTTTTCTTGATCGATGATCTTGGGTTTTTTGCCTTAAAGCTGGAGATTTGCAATTGAAGAAAAAGAATCAATTTATAAAGGAAGGGTTGAGAATGAAGTGTATTTTAAAACGGCCCAAAATTAGGAAAATCATTTGAAGAGGCTGCCAGCGCTGAAAAATGCAGGACATGTTTCTCCATAGCACTGCAGATGAGTGAAATATGGAGACTCAGAAGGGCTGTGGAATGCCTGCTTAGACATCACAGTTTGCAGAGTTGGAAAATGGTAACCAAGTTACAAAATACTTCCCTTCTACCGCATCGTTTGTGAACAAGTTCGCTCTGCCGGTGATACGTTTTTCTCTGGTTTTAAAATACTGATTGCACAGTTAAAAGCATCTCAGGACTATGCACCAGGCTCTCAGAGAATCCTAAAAGCAGCTGAGGGGGAAACCTAGAACAGGACTGACAGGAAGGATTGTGATTTATATGAAAGATTTTGGGCATTTTTTACCCCTTGTCTCCTTTCCACACATGGTGAGGGTGCAATGGGTGGAGAAGCCAGCTCATTTCAGAGCCAAGGAATAGTTGAGGTTGGCAGGCACCTCTGGAGTCCAACCCCTCCTGCCCAAAGTGGAGGTCCCTCAGGGGGAATGTCCAGTCAGGTTTCAATTATCTCCAAGACCGGAAACTTCACCACCTCTCTGGGTAACCTGTGTCAGTGTTTGACCACCCTCACATTTTTCTCATCTTTAAATGCATTTTTCCATGTCTGTTTGCTCTCATTGCCTTTTTGCCTTTAACTGGCACCACTGAGAAGAGTCTGGTTCCATCTTCTTTGCTTCCTCCATCAGGTGTTTATACAGGGTCCCCCTGGGCTTTCTCTTCTCCAGGCTGAACAGTCCCAGTTTTTTTAACCTGCTACCTGCGTGCCAGGTGCTCCAGTGCTTTTGTCACCTTTGCATCCCTTTACTGGCCTGGCTCCAGGAAATCTGTGTCTCTCTGGTTCTGGGAGCCCAGCAGAGCTCCCAGAGAGCAGTGCTGAGTGAAGGGGAGGGCTCCTGAGGCAGCCCAGGAGCCCTTTGCTGTGAGGACACATTGCTGGCTCATGGTCAACTTTGTGCCCACCAGGAATCCCACGGCCTTTTCTGCAGAGCTCCTTCCCAGCTGGCTGGCCCCCAGCCTGTCCTGCCTGGGGCTGTTCCTCCCCAGGGGCAGAAGTTTGCACTTCCCTTTGCTGGACCTCCTGAGGTTGCTGTTGGCACTTTGCTCCACCCTCTGTGGTCCCTCTGGGAGGCAGCTCAACCACCTGGTGATACCAACCACACCTCCCCATTCCATGTCATCTGTGGACTTGCACAAGGTGCTCACTTGTATCATCCAGGTCATTAATAAGACACTTGGCTACTGTACTGAGAGAAATTACTTGGCAGGAGAGGATTAGACCTTGAACTGCAGTTTCAAGATTTAGCCCAGAACTGAAGCACAGTGTTATTACAAAATGCCAAAAAAAAAAAAAAAAAATGGTCCATATCCTGAGTATGCTTATGGTTAAGAGTATGGAAGTTGCAACATTGAATACCCAACATATTGCATCAGCATCCTAGAGTTTGAGGATGAAACAGAAAAATCAGTGATTCAGATTTACTAAGAGCTTATTTTATATATTAAAGAATGAAGACTCACAGCTGATGAAGTAATTTCAATTGATAATTTCGTTCACTGCATTTCAATTAAAGTGGGTTAAAAATAAAACCATATGAAATGAATTAAAAATAAAATGAGATTTAGTCCAATCTGATTTGGATCTTGCCGAAAAATCTGTCGCACAGAATAAGGAAACAGGATAGGGAAGATGCTTATCTGGTAGATGTTGGGCAAAGAGCTATTTCTGTAGTCACTGCCTGTCCAGTTCACTGACCTTCCCACATCCTGACCTCTGGAAATTAGTTAGGCACTTGGAGTAAATGACACTCCTCATACATACACTTCATCTGAGAAGGCTTTTACTTAGACAAGAGCTGTCTCAGTATGATAAGTTATCATCCCTGCTTTTGTGTGAATTGTGCTCCACAGCACAGTTCAGTGTAGGCTTCGTACCTTGGTTTAGATACAGCATTTTAAACATCTTCAAGGATTCCTCTCTCTGTATAAATGACAATTCCCACCAGCTGCCACAGGTGAGGCAGGGAATGACAGCCCATGCTGGGCTTGGGTACTGAGGTTCATTCAAGATCCAACAGGTTTAGAGCTTTTATCCTGCTTGATCTCACACACAAGCTGTCCCAGGCATTCCCCTGGCATCGGTCTCCGTGCATCTCAGAATTCCAGGATATCCCCTTACTTCCAAAGTCTCTTCTCCACTGTGCACTGGTCATCCTTGATGATCTTTTCAGAGAGTCCATGTCTTTGGGGAGCCCATTTGTTCAGCCTCTTCTTCCTTCGGGAACTCAAGGGGCCTCAGTTTCCCAAATTTCCGTAGTCTGGGCAGAAACACTGCACGTGATCAGCGTCTTTGGTGGTGCTTTCTCATCTCTTCTTCACTAATTCCATGCTCCACTGTCATTTAATTTCAGGTATTATCAAAACTTGTAACCAGCCCAGTCAAGCTGTAACCAGCAAGGAGCAGGTTTATGCATGAGAGTCGAACATTTTGGGGCATATTTACACCCTCCTGCACATCCA